GAAGAGGTGGGGATAGATTGAGAACAAGAATAGGCAAGCCAGGAAATGTGCTTTGGTCAAACGGATGAGGTTTTGAAGAAGTGCATGAAATCGTTTACATATCTACTACATATTGGGTTGGTGAATTGAAAACTGCCGGCTGTTGTCCTATGTGACAGTTTGAGCACTTTCTTCAAAAGAAACCCATTTTGGTGTCAATGGAAAAGTTGTAGAGATTCAAAAATTAAGCTTATATCCAAATTTTCAGAACGATTCAAAACCTGGTTTTCAAGAAATGCGAAATTTACGAATTTTCACAAAACTTGTATTTTAAGCGAAATTACCAAGTGTATCTTTTTGGAAATTTGGCTATAAGCCTAATTTTTGATTCTCTACAACTTTTCCATTGGCATCAGAATGGGTTTCTTTTGAAGAAAGTACTCAAACTGGGTCTCCTGTTTGAGCACTTTCTCCTGGTCTCCAGACATCTCCAGTCCTCCATTTTTGAGTCTCACACTTGTCTCACACACAAACCAAAATCCTACTACGAAAGAGAAATCCGCAAATTGCCTTTAAAATGGGCAGGAGTCGTCAATAATAATGGAAATTATTTGGAATGAATGTATGGTTTTGTGTTGAATAAATTTTAGTTCAAAGTCCCGCAGTTTTCAATTCACCAACCCAATATAAAGGGACTAAGGCATCTGTCTGTCTGTCTGTGCACGCTCCTCCGCGTCCAGTGGGCGCTCGCACTGCGCCATCGAGTGGCCCAGTGGTTAATGCGCGTGTCTTTCAAACGAACGGAAGAGAGGTCGCAGATTCGCCTCCTCTCGCCTCTATCCTTACATTTTATAACTTTACTTTTGATTCTGGATAGTAAATTCAGTATAATCTGAATTTCAGTGTGTTATACAGGGTGGCTGATAAGTATCCGAAAAAATTATTTGGATATATACCAATTATCACAGAGAGAACTAACAAAATATCAAACAAACAAAGTCAAACAAATAACAAACAAAGTCAAGAAATTCACTTTAACAACAAATTTCCAAAAGAGCCTTTTTTGGCATCGATGTAGGCTTGAATTCTTTTGGGCATGGAAGTGACGGTGCGCTGCAAGTAGTCCTTGGGTATTTGAAGTCCTTTTACAATCACCATTGGCTTCATCCCTGACTGTCGCAGACGCACAATGGCTTCACAGTGGGGCGAGATCTTCATAGCACCAAAATATCTATATTATTATTCCTGAAAATCAAAAACATTATAATAAAGAATACGGATCAGAAAAAAAATGAATGAACAATAAATGAATTAATAAGGCAAGCGCGCATCAACAAAATTGTTCCGGATACTTTACAGCCACTTTGTATACCGTATTTTCTCTAATAGTAGTGCACCCTGATCGTCGTCTAAATTCCTCGAAATCTCGAGAACCGCTTATCGGAACCGATCGATATGGGATCGGAAAATGTAGCTGACGATCAGATCTAGTGGGGGATTAGAGTGTTGAGCTTCTGTGGAAGCTTGGAAACCGTAAAATAGTCACCAACTCGGCTCGCTGGGGTGCACTGCTATTAGAGAAAATACGGTAACCTTACAGCAACTATAAGTCTTTTTTTTCATAATATCTATAACATTTCCATATCTTTGGACTTCCTTTAAGTCCAACTACTGTAGCGCTACAACCATCTCAAGATGTACAGACTGTTTGTTCATTAAAATCTTAAATTATATCTTAAATCGATTCTAGAACTAAAACTGTACCTGAAAATCTGTTATCTTCAAAATTTATTTCAAAGCTGATCTCCGAAAGTTCTCTCCTTCCTTGTTCCCATTTTTATCACTTCCGAAAACGCATTTCCAAATCAAATTCAGAGAAAATACGGTATATAATATTTAATTTAAGAAATGCTTAAGCAAATTTGGGTAACTTTTGAAACGAACCTAAGCAGAAATTCAAGTTTTTCTGAAAATTTTTTTTCTTGCAAGAGGCTATAGAAAAATTGTTTGCTGACTGCAAAGAGGTTTACTCGAAGAGGCAGCAGAGAGCGAACGATTGAGCCAATTCGCTTTGCATTAACCATCAAAAAAAACAACTTGAAAAGTGCAAAAATCTGGAGCAACTTTGGAAACTTTGAAAACGAAGCCTTGAATGTGAAAAGTGAATGGTGGATCCCTCAATTCCCAACTCGAAAATATCGATTTTGAATGCGACGAATAGCTATATTTCCGGATCGCAAAATTCCCCCAATTTTTCCTCTTTCAATACTCGATATTATGATTCAAATGGCGTAAAAAAAAGCACAATTCCCCCCGAAACACTTGTACATGTTATTGATAGTTTCCCGCGTGATTGACTCGAGAATTGAAGTGAATAGTGAATATCGAATGTGATACAGATTTTTGCTACAAACAAAAAGTGCAAGTTTTGCTTTAAATCTATAGTTCGAGGCTTAGAATTGAAAAATTTCGATTTTCCAAGTTGCCATAGGAATTCGAAACAATAACTTTTTAAAAACAAAACAAAATCCAGCTAAATTTCTGAATACAGCTTTATTTTGGGTTCTTGTAAGTTACTGAAATGAAATGGAGAATTCGATAAGCTTAAAAGAATCGAATTTTCAGTTTCGTAACTGAATTTTCTCTAGTTTTCCGTGTTCTCAAATTTAGAAAAAAAATCTGGAGAAGAGTTTGACAGAATGCAGAACTTGTAGAAGAATATAGCCAAATTTGAGTCTAAAGCGGATCCCAGGAATTTGGGCAAAACGGCAAAACGGCAAAACGGTAAAACGGCAAAACGGTAAAACGGCAAAACAACAAAATCGGCTCAGTCGCTAACCGCTCCTTCTCCTTTACGGATTCCAAAAGGCAAGCTCTTTATAACGAAGCGGTTTGCCAGGTCGAGAGCGATTACGGGGCCGCGCAAAGAATACATAGTCATTTACATAGAGAATCTTCTTTTGCTTTGTAAATCGTTCAAAAAGAAGATATTTGATTGTAAATTTATACCCGGGGGTTTTCGAGATCGGGGAATCGACTGGGAATTTTCATTTTATTGCATCTATCTAGCCTTCTCATCCAAAATCCAAGTTTCGACTAATTAAACACGATTTCCAATTGATTGACCCAACAAAAGTCTCAACAAACAACAAAACAACAAAATAACAAGCAAACAAAGCTTTCCCGCTTTTTCGGATCAATTTTTACCTTAAATTTGCTGTATTTTTTTGTGACAAAATCAACATTCCGTTAAACCTGAACTAGCTGAAATACCGTATTTACTCTATTAGTGGGGTCCCCCACTATTTTTTCAATCCCCTTCCAGACGACCCCACTATTAGAGAGGACCCCGCTATTAGAGAAATTTAAAAGAACATAAAACCAAAGTTTTAAATTGAAAAGATATCACTTTTTCTCCGAAATTCTTGACAAAACAAGTTTGGCTTCATATTTTATTTAGCTTTAACCGTAACAAAACATTAACAAACAGTAAAAGAACTAATCCAAGAGATCAACAATTGATGTATCACTTTCGTTACCAATATTAGAGAGGACCCCACTATTTTTTCAACCCCCCTCCAGACGACCCCACTATTAGAGAGGACCCCACTATTAGAGAGGACCCCACTATTAGAGAGGACCCCACTATTAGAGTAAATACGGTATGCAAGGTTTCATTAAAGAAAAACCGATAAAAGCAAAGCTTCCAAAGCCCATTTCATCTTGTAATGCATGATAAATTATTGATAAATCAATTTTCTTTAATCATTTCTACATAAAACCATCAAAAACTTATAATAATACCAAAAATTGGTTTAAGGAGAATCGATCTTAATTTGGTTCTTTTTTAAATAAAGAAAAAACGTCCATGAACACAGTTTACAAATAAGTAAACTTGTAAGAAAGGCGAAATTGTTTACTAAGCCTTGATTTTGTTAAGAGTTTACAGTTCAAAAGCTAAACAACAACTAGAACGACTCGAAGCAAGAATCTTGCTCAGAGAAAAGAGTTTATTTGTAACAAATTCTTTAAAAGTACTAAATTTTGAACATTTTTTTGATTCTCCTAAAGAATTCTCCCTTTTCTATAAACCTTATTGTTTATTTTCTCAACGAGCTCAAGATCTGGCTTTCTTCGTCAACTTATATTATGACCCTTTTACCGTATCCCAAGCGAAGACAATACCGCAGCTCTGTGACTTTTAAAATTGCCTTTGATGCCATGCCTTTTAGCTAGATAATTGTTTGCACGGTTTGGGAATTTTTAGCCCAATTTCTATTCAATTACGGTTATCACTTTTTGGCGTTCCGGGTCTTGTTTTCATTATAATAGGTTGATGCATAAGTCTTTTCGTTTTTTTCGTACTTCTGTTAAAAAGTAACAAATTTACCAATTAATCTATAGTTTGCTCTATAAAAAAAGTGTTTTTTTGTTCAATTTGCATCTTTTTAAATGAATTTCGGTTCACTTTCAAGCAAATTCGAGAGTGAAAAACGCCTTTTTCGTAAAAATCTATAAAAAACTCTACGGGAAAATGGGCTGAATGAATTTCTCTGAAATTTTGGCGAAATATCAAACTTTTTTTTCTCTATCTTTTATCTATTGACACGAAGATAGGTTTTCTTTAGCTAAGGTGTCTAAACCGCATCATCGAGTTAGCCCTTTTTGACTACCCGACTTCATACTCTCAAGAAAATCCAGGCATTAAATATTTTTAAACCCGTTTTAATGTTATTTTGCAGAAAAATAATTCGTTTTTCTAATGAAATCAACCGTAGTTTAATTGGTGCATTTGTTGGCTTGAAACGGCAGACGAAAAGGAACGAAAAGACTTATGCATCAACCTAATATTTAACAACTTGTTTTCAACGAAACAAAACAAAAACAACAAAAAGAGCTTGTTTTCATTATATTTAATTGTTAGCTTCATTAGTTAAATCTATCTTGTATTCTATATTTTGAAACACTATTAGCCTTTATGAAACACTATAGCCTTTCTTACAACCTTATCCAGTTTTAGAATGGCTTCTGCAACAGAAGAATTTCAATATTTTCACGATTCGGCCAGTGCGGCATCGACTCTTGACTCCAGATGTTCGGATAAGGTGAAACTGGGACTAAATGCTAAAACTTGAATTGTTGTTCTTGTTCTTGAACTGGTTCTTGTTCCAGAATTGGACATGAAACACTCTTTTTGAGAATTTGAGTTGAAAAATCCTTTTCTTAAATTAAAAGACAATCTTGTATGGTTAAAGGAATCGAAAATGTTTAGACAATACGAATGGATGAGTTTCCCGATTGGATAGTGCCGATCGAGTTAGGCCAAAGCCGCGAATACACACAGATTCGACAGGAGCTTTATGACTCCGAGAAATCGTATCTCGGATATTTATGCATTCTGCAAAAGGTTAGACTCTAAATTTCTGAATTTCAAACAAATTTCAAATAATTCCTCAATTAATGCTAATATTCAGCTTTTCGTGAACCCAATCGGCAAGTTGCCCAAGCTGGTGCATCGATCTGAGGCGAGAACGCTTTTCGGAGATCTAACCAGTATCTTTATGACTAATAAGGTTTGTTCGAATTGATTTATCTTTAATTCTATTGTATCACTTTCACAATCGATTTCCAGGAGCTTCTAATCACACTGCGATCAAAACCAACTGTTCACGAGGCTTTCTCACAAATCGTTCCATTTCTCAAACTCTATGCCTCTTATGCAGGAAACTATCAGAACTCGCTGAAAGTTTATTCGGTAATAATTTTATAAATTTCTGAAGTTCACAGTAAAAACAACTTGGTTTCGTTTTATAAACCATCAATTTTATCAGTATTTCTTTAAACAAAATGATTTAACTAACTGATTTAACTGGTTTTATGCCAAAAGTACCACTTCCTGCTTCAAAATATCCAGATAATTAACAGCAAAGCGCGGCAAACGGAGGCTGGTTATTTTGGGGCACCTCAGTATACCGTATTTTCTCTAATACTAGTGCACAATGAGCGTCGTCTAAATTCCTCGAAATCTCGAGAACCGCCTATCGGAACCTATCGATGTGGGGTCGGAAAATGTAGCTGAAGACGAGATCTTGTGGGGGATTAGAGTGTTGAGCTTCTTGGAAAAATTGGAAACCGTAAAATCGTCACCAACTCGGCTCGGTGCGGTGCACTACTATTAGAGAAAATATGGTATGTTACGTCCGAATCCGAACTAAACCCTTGACCATTTTGCGGGCTTGTATCTCCAAAACTGTGCACCCTGATCGTCGCCTAAATTCCTCGAAATCTCGAAAAGCGCTTATCAGAACCTATCGATGTGGGGTCGGAAAATGTAGCTGACGATGAGATCTAGTGGGAGATTAGAGTGTTGAGGTTCTGTGAAAGCTTGGAAACCGTAAAATCGTCACCAACTCGGCTCAACGGGGTGCACTACTATTAGAGAAAATACGGTAATTTCGAAATGTCAGTCTGTCCGTCGAAGTTCTAGCGGGAGCGGGAGTGAGTTTTCGGGAAACAGCATCTATAGAAATACGCATCTCCTGAAGATTTGATGTAGTTGTGCCTTTTGAAAACCGTTACAAAAATACCCAGTAGAAAAGAAGTTATGTGGAGTTTTTGGTGTTTTTTAGTGGCTTTTGGGGGTCATCCACGGGACCCCCGTGGAACGCAATCGTCGAGTGGTTAGCGCGCTCGCACCGAGTTTGAGAGGTCAAGGGTTCAAATGCTCCGGTCAAACATTTGGCTTTTTTTACCAAAAGCCTAGATATTATAGAAGTAAAATTTTTAAGCAAAAAGAAGAACCCAAAGTTTGGGCCGGGCTCGACCATGCGCCGTCTGGCTCGTTTTCATAAATCTCGCAAAATAGATCTCACAAACCTTCTCCAATTTCTAGTAATTTAAAAGAAAAACGAAGATTTTAATCAAATTTGAAAACTTTTCTAGAAGTTAATGGCCAAAACTGATTTTCGAACGTTTATTGAAAGTCAAGAAAGCGACCCGAGATTGATGGGAATCAAATTCCAAGCACTTCTCATCATGCCGATTCAGAGAATTCCAAGGTAAACTTTAAAAGGTTTCAAGAAAATGAAAATCTTATTAGTTATTAAACAAACAGTTATTAAACATTTCCATTTGATTTCAGGTACATTTTACTCCTCCAGCGCCTTCGTGACACCACAGCTCGACCGAAAGAAAGGAACGAATTGAAAAGTTTGTTGTTAACTGTTTTTTTTAAAGCAAACTTACCTAATTGTATTATATTTTTATATTTACCTAATAATTTATAACTAAATTTTAATCTTAGGAGTAATCGCTCAAATGGAGGATCTCACCTTTCTGATCGACTCATGCATTGCCGAGTTTGAGAACGGGGAAAAGTTATGGGATATTCAAGTGAGTAAACAATTTGATTGATTGAAAAATTTATTTAACTCATTTTCTAATAGGCATCTATTTTGGAAAAATATCGTAATCCACCAGTTTTTATTTGATCTGTTCAAATTTGGAATCATTTGCTGATTCCTGCTATCAAATTGAATTTTTGCAGCAGATTGCTGATTGAATGTAAGCTTTTGTTTTAATTAAATCACGTGTTTTTCTCGACATTGATTTGTGCTACAATGCGCGCTTAAGTATCAAAAAATAGCTGAAATACAGGACTATTTTTTGATACCAAAAGCGCATTTTTTGGAAGTAGAGGCGCTTCGAAAAAATGAAATATTAAAAAAACTTTTGCGACTACGCGACTGTACAAGGGGGATGGGGTACTATTACAATATTTAGGGTAGTCAAATTAAGACAAGCAAAGTCTTAATCAGATTCTCAAAATCAACTAATTAAATGAAACTTTGTGAAAGTGTGATCACGGTCAATTTCCAAGGTTGAAAAGCTAAGAAATCAAGTTTTTTTAGGAGTCTCTTGGTTTGAAAGAAGGCATTGTCGCGCCCGGCCGACGTCTTCTCAAAGAAGGTTCACTCTTCAAGGTATGTCAATTATAGAAATATAAAAATTTTTAAGTTCTAGAAAGCTTAATAAACTTCGCACACTTTACAATGAAAATTTTGAGCATTCACGAAAATTTTTTTAGAGAAACATGTGTGGAGAGGCCACATATCACGAGCGCTACTTCTGGATCTTCAACGACATTTTGGTCTACGGAAAACGGAGAATTGGTAAAGTTTTGTAGGCTATGAAAAGGCTATGAAAAGCAAAATTTCTAGAATTTTTCGAGATTCAACCAATTTTAGGAATGGGGCCACGTTTCGAGTGCAGTTGCATCTTTCAGCTTCGCCATGTGCAAATGACCTACATTGAGCTGGAGGGAGCTATTCAGGTAAGCTAAAATGTAAAATGGTAAGCCAAATTCATGTACTCATGTACTTTTGATTCCAAATTACATTTTTTTCATTAAAATTTAGATCAAATGCAAGAATCACTCTTTGTCGTTGACGTCAGATGCTTATGAAACGATTGTGAATTGGAATGAAGTGATGTCAGGTAGGAACTTCAAGTTTTATAACTGATTTTATATTATCTCTTCTCAGGATCCAGATTGATCTTGGATCTAATATTAGCTCACTTTTGTTATAGATATACCGTAAATACTGTAATAGTACCCCACCCCCCTCGTACAGTCGCGTAGTCGCAAAGGTTTTTCTAATATTTCATTTTTTCGAAGCGCCTGTACTTCCAAAAAATGCGCTTTTGGTATCAAAAAATAGCCCTGAGTTTCAGCTATTTTTTGATACCCAAGCGAGCATTGTAGCATAAACCGGTGTCGAGAAAAACTCGTCCAAAGCTAGACGACGCAACACTCCGCACCGTCATTATGGGGGTGGGGTACTATTACAGTATTTACGGTAGATACTTTATTCATGACCTGAGATAAAGTGCGTCCAGTACCTAGATCTGCTGTTAGTTCTAGAATTCAGGCAAGCTTGGCTAAAATACGGTAGCTTTTACTTCTCAATCAGCAATTAATGAATTGTATTTGAATCCAGCAATTGAAAGTGCGAAAATCATTCCATTTCAGAAGCCATCGAACGAGTGAAAGTTCTACGAAAAACCCTGCGCAAAGAGAGTTCACTACAGCCGGTGAAAGAATTCAAGTGAGTGTGAAACAACTCAATTTCCATGTCTAGAAAGATTTTGCTGTAATTCGCATTTCAGAACTCAAATCCGAAAACGTTTCACGAAGAAATTCGTCAATACTACCTATGTCTACAAGATGGGCGAGTCAAAGAAACGGGAAGAGAAACTCAAAAAGAAATGGGTAAATCAGGCTATGAATATACAAAACAAATTCTACTTTTCTATAACCAAATTTAAGGAGAATTCTATTAAAACCAACCATAAGTTGATTCAACTTCTATGCCTCCAGTTATAGACCATCTAAGTTGATCAACTTTTTTAGGTAGGTAGTTCAACTTTGACACAAATTTTCTCTATTTTCTTATACCTGAGTATACAAAACAAATCCTACTTTTCTATAACCAAATTTAAGGAGAATTCTATTAAAACCAACCATAAGTTGATTCAACTTCTATAACTTGAGGTATAGACCATCTAAGTTGATCAGCTTTTTCAGGTGCCACTACTGGACAATGAAATATCATATTTGAAAAAAGATCGTCACTTTCGCGCGTCTGTAACTCCCTTGTCTTTGCCGTATTTCTAAATATTACTATTACCATTGTGTAGCCCTTGAAAAAAGCTTTCAGAAAATATATAACACTAATAGTTTAAACTCAAAGATAAGGGAGGTACAGACGCGCGAAAGTGACGATCGTTTTTCAAATATGATATTTCATTGTCCAGCACTGTAGGTAGTTCAACTTTGACACAAATTTTCTCTATTTTCTTAAACCTGAGTATATAAAACAAATTCTACTTTTCTATAACCAAATTTAATGAGAATTCTATTAAAACCAACCTCAAGCCGATCTGATTACTGGGAGTCGAGTTATAGAGTAAAATAGAAAAGTTCCCAAACCTCGTAACGGAATTTGGAAGTTCAACTTTGACACAAATTTTCACTATTTTCTTATACCTGAGTATACAAAACAAATTCTACTTTTCTTTAGTCTAATTTAATGCGAATTCTTTTAAAAGCAATCACAAGTCGATTCAATTTCTATACTAAACTATTTAACTAAAGAAGAGAACTGGAAATACTTTATGCTGTATGGAAACACACTCTTTCTGGCATCTAAATCTTTCGGGAAGTGATGTCACAAGGAAAAGAGGGAATTGAGTGCCAGATAAAGCGCGTTTTTTAACTTATGAACACAAAGTAAATGCTCAGAATATTTTTGGATTTGCTTAGCAATGAAACGCACACTTTTTGGCACACTAGTCCTCAATCTTTCTTCAAGAAAAATGAAGAGTTTAGTGCGCCAGAAGAGATGAGTTTACGATAAGCAGTACTTTCAAAAACGATTCTAGGAGTTGAAGTTGTTGGAATTTCACTTCACTGACGATTCTTTATCAACAAAGTTTATTCTTTATATTCTTTACTAGCGGAAAAGCCATTCAGGGCTCTTCGGGACGGGTTCGGGCTTACGCTTAGGCTTAGGCTTAAGCGAATAGTTTAAAAATCCCAATTAAAGTACTTTCCGCTAATAATTACCTTGTTTTCCTTTAACCATGATTGTCGAGCTCTCTTCGGACACACCCAACCCCCTTCCTGTTAGCTTTCTTTCTTTAAAATGACTAAAACTACCGTAACCCATGTTAAACCTTATTTCTTTTTAAAAATGGAAAGTCAGATTCCCCGTAGCCGAAAACCCCAGGGCGAAAAAGGGCTGAATACTTTGCCTTTTAACCGATAGAACAAACGTAATTACGGAGCGTCGCGTTTGCGTAGAGACAGACAGACAAATATATAGTAGATCTTTATATATAATAGATCTTTATATATAGTAGATCTTTATATAGTAGATCTTATCTTCAGGCTGACGTGCTCGCCTCACCATCAGATATCAACTTGTTCTCTTCACCTTTTCGATCAAAACAAGGAACATCAAAGATCGCACAAAAAGAAGAAAATCATGCGGAAGAGATGGAAATTAGAGAAGAATCTACACTAATCAAGAAAGAATTCGAATCACCGAGAAAACGAAGAGCTCCCCAACCGAAGAGTCCTTATGATGATGAGTTGCGGGCAGCTTTAAGGAAGTGAGTGCTCAATGTTGGACTGGCAATCAAATTTTAGCGTTTATGGTAATGCAAAAGCTACTGATTAGCTTTTTAAGACCGATTAAGTATAAGAAAAATTCGGAAAATTTATATAAACCCAATTTCTAGAAGAAGAGCGGCGAATGGAGAACCGATGGCGAAAAGTGATACGCCCGATCGGCCGATTGTCTTAGAAGAAGACTTTGGGTCGAGGAGAGCTTACGATAAAGAGAAAAGACAGGAGGAAGAAGAAATCAACTATCGAGTGCTGCCAAAAGAAAAGGATGAGCCAAAAACGGTGCTCAACACGCTCCAGATTCGGAAATATTCGTACATGGTAATGTTTTTTTACTGACATACCAGTACTAACAAAGAAGGGCCCACTGGCTGAGAAGGCCAAATGGCCTATACCATTTGATGCAGAGTTTTACGCCGGTTTCAAGGTTTTTGTAGTTTATAGTTGAAAATATGGCAAAAGAGTGGTAATCGGACATTTGATATTCGCCCCGCCCCTTTGCCATTGGCAATCCAAAATATATTTGTTTTGAACTGTCCAATTTATATCTTCTTGGTATCATTGGATGCGCCAAGTCTTTCTCTGTCGATTGATACAAAAACTATTTAAATTGGACTGCTCAACACAAAGAAATTTGAGCTCAAAGTTGGATTGCCAATGACAAAAGGGGTGGAACGCGTATGAAAGTTCTGTCGCCCCGCCCTTTCGCCATTGGCAATCTAACTTTGAGCTCAAATTTCAAAAAAGACATGAACAAGCCAATTGTAGCATTTCTTAGGGTGACATTTGATGGTGAAACATTTGATACACGACCGGCTTCTTTTGCCATTGGCAATCCAACTTTGAGCTCAAATTTCTTGGTATTGGGTTGTTCAATTTAAATATTCTTCGGATCATTGGATGCGCCAAGTCTTTCGCTGTCGATCAATACAAAACTATTTAAATTGGTCAGCTCAACCCCAAGATATTTGAGTTCAAAGTTAGATCCCCAATGACATAGGGGGCGGGATTATGGGACCTTTTATACCTGCCTCGCCCCTTTTGCCATTGGCAATCTAATTTTGAGCTCAAATATCTTGGTGTTGAGCTGTCCAATTTAAATAATTTTTGTATCAATCGACAGAGAAAGACTTGGCGCATCGAATGATACCAAGAATATATGAATTGGACAGTTCAACACAAAGATATTTGAGCTCAAAGTTAGATTGCCAATGGCAAACGGTATCCCACAATCAAAAAGTGTAGCTGGAGAAGTTTTTAAACAAAATTCAAATTGGGCAAGTAAAATCTTTCAGGAACACTCCCCACCAAAGCGAACAAGTGTCTTTGAGCCGGATAATATGAACGATTCGCAGGATACAGAAAACGCTGAAGATCAAGGAAATGAGCAACCGCCAACTAAAGTAAAAAAGGTACTTATTTACTTTTTGACTAGAGTAACTTATCGAGAAATTGCGGTAGAATTACCTCTTACCCGTTCAGTTGCAAGAGGAACCGTAGAATTACTATAAGCCGGGAATTACCTGTTATCAATCTCCTTTAAACAAGCTTATGAAAGACTTTGTTCAAGAGCTCTATTAGAAAATACGCTGATTTTATCTTTAGTGAAAAATCTCGGTTTTTAGGTGCCTTGGTGGGTGGAAGAAGCACAGCCGGCCGAGTTCCGAAACAATAACAAACGGAGTGGGCTTGTTGCGAGTGCTTGCAGTATTCTGTAAAATTGATCTTTTTATTTAATTGTTTGTTTGTTTGCTCTTTGTTTAAAGGCCTGGTCAAGTAACATTTGTGTGCATTTTCATCATCATTTACTCATTGCTCGATCTCTTTAAAGGTTCAATGCTTCAGAACATTTTCATAAATGCAATAAAAACTTTGCTTTTGGTAGGAGAATCGCGCTGATCTCTTACAAAGTTTTGTAGAAAAAGACAGACAAAAGCTTTCCTCAAAAATTTGGGCATAGTGACGCCTAGAAAGTCTGGCTTACAGGCTTACAGCCTTCTGGCTTACAAGGGAATGGTCAGAATTGATTGTGAGATTTTGGCACCAAAATCTGATGCAAAAACCTATCGAATACGGCGAGTATAATGGTGCTTTCGGAGCTTGCTAAGGATCGCTAGTTTTCGAGAAAAACGGCTTTGGACGGCTTTCGGCGTCTAGAGGAAGTTAGAGATTGAACAGGTCCTTGGGGCAGAACATTTCAAATTGTATTGGCGAGAGTTTTGTCTACCTCCCTATAGAGCCAAAGAGCACTCAAATTGGTGAAATTTTCTATGGTTTATCTAAGCTAATTTTTCTGTATTGCATCTGATTTTTTCAAATTGTCAAATTGTTCAAATTCAAACGAGGCCAGAACGCAGCCCCTCAAGCTGCCACACGTAACAAATAAGCTGTTACCGAAGCCCAACTCGGAGCTGGCACACGAGTCAACAGAGTCAAAAAGTGCAGTGACCGCCTCTCAACAATTGTCTCTTTATTTTCTTGGAATTTTTGGTCCAATCAAGCTCTATTTTATGCCATTTGAAAGCCTGAAGCGTCCTCTATAAACTTATATAGAAAAGTTAACAATAATCTTATCTCTAAATAAAGTTATGAAGCTTCAAAGCGCGGATATTTGCTCAAAAACCACGAATTTCGGTCAAGAGTTACAAATTCTATGCTGATTACCGATTTGTTGTTAAAAAAATAGCCGTTAAAAGCTTTTCTGAACATTCAAAGCAGGTAGAAAGCATTTATAACAATTTGCAATTCAAAAACGTTAGCTACATTTTGATATTGAGTTCATTTTCTTGAGCAAGACCCGTTTTGATTAATGCAGAAAGCGGATCTCGAGAAAATTGGCGGTTGCAAAAATCTCTCATTTCCCCAAAAGAGATTTCCCGTGCCCGAAATCAGGATATCAGGCTAAAGCTTTTGGATTTGCATATTCAAAGAGAGAATAAATGGAAATTTCATTTCTCGACGCTTTTCTCATCGAATTTTTCCAACTAGATCCCTTTTCTGCTCAAATCCATCGGCACTTCTAATTTCCCGCAAACGAAAGGAACAGGTGAGGAATGCTTTTTATGAATCTCCTCCTCTTTTTCCTCGTTTCTTCATCCTTCAATTGAATCCTCAAAATGGGGAGAAAGCTAGAGGATCTTTCACTCTGACAGTTAGAGGATCGAGAGTTTTCTGTCCTTGACTACTGGCTTTGTCAATATTTTTTAAAATAAAGCTTGGATCTCTTTTGACGATATCTTTGAATCTTTTCTCAATCTTGAATCTCAATCTTAAATCTTCCAAAAATTTCCATTGAACTTCTAATTTTGAAAGCGTACTATTCATTTCAAGTTTTCGGTAGACAAGTTACAGTTTAAAGACAAGTTTTTGAGTCAATAGATCCTTAGGGAAATCTGGAACTAACAGCTGGTCTCTATCTGGCATTGAGCTGATATAAATACCAAAACACAGTTCTGAGTCTAGTAAATTAGTAAGGCATAAAGCCTTATCCTGGCGGCAGTCGAATACGTGTCAGTGTAGCTCATTGGTAGAGAGTTTGTCCGATAAGCGAGAGGTGTCGGTGTAGCTCATTGGTAGAGAGTTTGCCCGGTAAGCGTCGGTGTCGGTGTAACTCATTGGTAGAGAGTTTGCCCGGTAAGCGTCGGTGTCGGTGTAGCTCATTGGTAGAGAGTTTGCCCGGTAAGCGTCGGTGTCGGTGTAACTCATTGGTAGAGAGTTTGCCCAGTAAGCGAGAGGTGTTGGGGCGGCTTCGAGTAAAAGTAAAAAGAGGAGGAGTCACGGCACCAATCATGTTTTGTATTGCCAGCCCCCATAAAAGGACCGGCTTGTCCAACTCATTAACAGATTTTTGAGTCTAGTGCCGATTCTCATCGATCAGTGGAGCTGGTACAGCGCCTAGTCAAGCTGGTACAGCGTCTAGTCAAGCTGGTAGTCAAGTGTTTCCATTGATCAAGTCCTTATCTTATCAAGATCTTTACCAGAACTCGTCTAGAAGATACGCACTATCGGAAACTCTGTGACTGTTTGCCCAAGTGCTGAAGTTTTTTTACCGTACCTAACACTCTTGTAGCTAGTAGCCAGTTCCCCAGTTTTGGACAGAAAACTATTCAATGTTATTATCACTAGATTTTCATATCACCATAACTTCTTTTGTGTCTTTAATTACTTCAATTCATTCATTTTCAGTTCCTTCACTTTCCAATTGCATTGCAAAACACATGAACAAGCCAATTGTAAGCATTTCTTAGGGTGACATTTGATGGTGAAACATTTGATACGCGCCTCGCTCCTTTTGCCATTGGCAATCCAACTTTGAGCTCAAATTTCTTGGTATTGGGTTGTTCAATTTAAATATTCCTTGGATCATTGGATGCGCCAAGTCTTTCGCTGTCGATTGGCACAAAAACTATTTAAATTGAACAGTTCAACACCAAGAAATTCAAGCCCAAAGTTGGATTGCCAATGGCAAAGAAGGCGCGGCGCGTATGAAAGGTCCGTTGCCTTTGCCCATTGGATGCGCCAAGTCTTTCTCTGTCGATTGGTACAAAAACTATTTAACTTGGACAGCTCAACCCCAAGATATTTGAGTTCAAAGTTAGATCGCCATTGACAAAGGGGGCGGGGTTGTGAGACCTTTTATACGCGCCTTGCCCCTTTTGCCATTGGCAATCTAATTTTCAGCTCAAATATCTTGGTGTTGAGCTGTCCAATTTAAATAGTTTTTGTATCAATCGACAGAGAAAGACTTGGCGCATCGGATGATCCAAAGAATATACGAATTGAACAGTTCAACACAAGGATATTTGAGCGCAAAGTTAGATTGCCAATGGCAAAGGGGCGGGGCGGCAGACCTTCCATACGCGCTCTGCCCCCTTAGTCATTGGTAATCCAACTTTGCGCTCGAATTTCTTGGTGTTGTGCTGTCCGATTTTAATAATTTTTGTACCAATCGACAGTGAAAGACTTGGCGCATCCAATGATACCAAGAATATTTAAATTTGACAGCCCAACAGCAAGAAATTTGAGCTCAAAGTTGGATTGCTAATGGGGAAGGTCGCATATAAAAAGTCGGACCACCTTTCTTGAGTTCATTGTGCCAAGAGTTTAAAGCAAACATGTGCAAAGATTTCGCAACTCCCTATGCAAATTTCTATGTGCAATTGTGACGCAAAAGCATGAGACACCTTCGAAGAATGGGCATATCTGGATGTCAAATCTCAATCCTCAAGGTCGAACAATGTTGAAAGGGTTTTCTTCTTTCCACCCCCATTCTTTTGATCCAGAAACCCAGCACTTGTTGAGAGGGGAATCGAGGGAGTGCCTTCCCCCGTAAAGCAAGACAATTCACCAGTTTTATCACACATTTCCCACAATTCGGTTTATGGTGCCATTCTTGATGTTTTTGTGTGTCATTATATCGATAAAGCACTTTGAGTTATGCTATAAAGGACTATTACAAGGTCCGCTTTAATTACAGGCACACCCTTTTGGTCGATTTATTGCCAGCCTTCGCATTCAATTCCAAAGTGCTTTGTGTTATTGCATAGGGAGTTGGGAAATCTAGGTTGAGAGTTGTTGAAGTTGTGATCATCATTATTTGATGACAAATTTTAAGTAAGGCTACTGAAAAACCCAGTCTCCTGCATCTTATGGACAGCTCACAATCAGAAAACAGTTTCAGTTTTTATTAGATTGGCAACTTGAAAGTTGGTACACTTTTTCGTATTTTCCATAAAACATTTAAGACACCAACCAATTGAATTAGACTTCTCTAAGTAAAAGTTATATAAGTACTTATGGGCTATCTCCACCTCCCCCACTCAAAAATTAATTTGTATATAAAAGTCTAATTTTTGGAGTGGGGTTCACATCTCTTCATAGGTCGTGTTATGCAATAAAAACTGCATAAAAATTAGCAACGATAGCAATTGTTTTTAAAATCAAAACAATTTCTACATATCCTATATTCTAAAACAATCTAAATAGGCAATGGGCAATGCGAAACCAGAAACGAAATTAGCATATGCGCGAAATTAGCATTTAATTGCACCAAAAGCATTGGCGGAGAGGTGGATGGGGAAAATTTCAGTCCACTGAATGGTTTGTTTCTTTTTTGCGGTGGAGGAGATAACCAATAAGTACTGTTACCGTATTTTCGCTAATAGTAGCGCACCATGAGCGTCGCCTAAATTGCTCGAAATCTCGAGAACCGCTTATCAGAACCTATCGATGTGGGGTCGGAAAATGTAGCTGACGATGAGATCTTGTTGCGGAATAGAGTGTTAAGCTTCTGCAAAAGCTTGGAAACCGTAAAACCGTCACCAACTCGGCTCACCACGGCGCTCTAATATTATAGAAAATACGGTATATATTATTTAATTTAAGAAATGCTTAAGCAAATTTGGGCAACGAAAAAAACTTTTGAAAGGAAACAGAGCAGAAATTCAAGTTTTTCTGAGAATTCTTCAAATGAAACTATAACAAAGGTGATTCATTCGATCTAGCCAAGAATTCAGCTATATGCTCAACATTTCATTCTCTATCTTTTCTCTACTAACATCAAAATAGGTTTATGTGGAAGAAAGTGCTCAATGCTCATCGAGTGTTCATCATTTTTGGTTCCTCAACTTCTTGCCCCTTAGAAATCTACAAAACCGAAGCTTTTCTAAATCTATCAAAAGCTTTTTTTAGAGAATAAATGAGCCTTTTTATTGGTAAGAACTGTAGATTAATTGATGCATTAGTTATTTCTAAAAAGTGCTATGAATAAGTGTACCAACTTTCAAGTTGCCAATCTAATATTGGAGTTCTTTGAAAAGTTAAACTTTTATATTCAAATTAACTCAAAAATCCAATCATCTGTTTCATTATGTTTTTCAAAATAAAAGCTACTTTATTTCAAAGAGTTTAAAACGTATTTCTTCTTATTAGCTAAATATTTTTATATTCTAGACAACTGTGGGATAAGAGATCTAGTTTTTAAAGTTTCCTTGACAAGTCGAAGACAAAGTCTTTACTTAAACGTTTTTTAATTTCGATTTAAAGCCTTTTGAAAATCTCTCTTTCAATCTTCTCTTTATATCCTTCCAAACCCAAAAATTTGCCCTTTAATAGTTGTTTTCAGTTCACTTTTTACCATTATTTCGAAACTTCAGCTATTGTGACATTGGATTTTTGATCGGTAATATCAGAAATTGTATTCTTTGTCTTAAAAATTACTAAACTTATCTTAAAACTTGAAAGATTACATTGAAATCTTTTAGAAATCTTATTTATTTTTGAATTTTCAGACTCGAAAGCAGATTTCAGACAATTTTAAAGTATCTTTTTTCTTCTTTCTTTCTTTCTTCTTTCTTTTTCTTTTCTTCTTTTGACTTTCATACTCTTTAAACAATATTTTGAGTCTCAGCAATCTTTCACTTATCACTTTCACTCAATAAATGTGATGGACTGAAATGTTGCAAATGTTTTTGATGAGAAATGAAAGTTTCTCCAATTTAATCGTCTTTTCCCAACCGATTTCCCGTAAAGAAGCTAAAATCGGCACTTTTTTGGGCATCAATTCTCTCTTACTTTAACGGGACAGCAAAAGGACACGTCCGCGTAAACAAACAAAGATCATCGAAAAAAAACGAACGGGAAACCCAAACACATTCCTGTTCTGTTGATTGATTAGAAGAGAGGCTTGATTAGAGAACGGTCAAGAAGTTGCGCGATTCCAATCACTGATCAAGCAATTGTCCAAGTTCCAATCACTGATCAAGTTGTCCAAGTTCCAATCACTGATCAAGTGATTGTCCAAGTTCCAATCACTGATCAAGCGATTGTCCAAGTTCCAATCACTAATCAAGCCTTCAGGCTTTTGTTACTACAACATTTGATGCCAATCAGCAATCAAAGCTGAAAGTTATTACGGGCCCATTACTCAAAAAAGTTGAATACTATTTCTAATCTTCATTTCTAATTCAATTACTACATTTCAAAGATTCTATTGGACTTCTAAGACTTCTACAAGTCTTACAATTATTCAAATTATTCAAGCTGATCTAGCTGATCAATTCCTCATCAAGTCTGACAATTTTTCTAGTAATTTCTAGTACTTCTAGTTTTTCTAAACAATACGATTTTGAATCTAATACTATTCAATTCTTAGCTCCATTTCAGATTCAAGATATTCAATAGCTGAATTAAAACAAACATCAATCCAAAAGCAAGATTTTCTCCGTAATTCAAGTTCTGTAGCTCGGCTAGTACTCTCGAACGAGTCTATTCTATTCAAAGCTCAATTTTTTAAGCTAACTCGATCCAATTCAATTTCAAATCTAATCGATCATACTCTTTTTATCGTACGCTTCAGTACTCTTACTTCAGTACGATCGTACGCTTCAGTACTCTTTTTTCAAGCTCAAAAATATTAGTTGAACTTCAAGAGTCTTAAAACCCAAGCTGAACCCCACTGGCCGATTTTGAGGAGAAACAAGCTTATTCATACTATTCATACTATCAATTCAAGTTGCTAAAAGCTGTTGTTAAAAGCTAAGTAACAATAATATTCAAAATCTAAACTGATCTCAACTCAGATACTTGTTTTTTCTCAATCACTCAATAAAGCACTCATCCACTCCTCTCTAGACCTAAGCATGCGTTTTCTTTGTCGACGAGTCACTATCAAAGGTAAATAAACCGTTTGAGCGAGTTTTCTTTAAAGAATTTTCTTTCTTCAACTTCCTGGTTTAGTTTCCAATCTTCTCAACTTTTTAAATATCAAAATATTAAAATTTTCTTCCAGTCATGCAAAACTACTGTGCCCGTTGTGATGAAGCTGTCTATTTTGCTGAAGCAATTCAAGCTTTTGGCAGCTTTTACCACAAGAAATGCTTTGTTTGTAGTAAGTTTTCGATTTAAATTAACCAATTGACTTATTTGAAGCGATTTTCATTTAAATTCAACTTTAAATTCTCATCAATTTAGCTCGAGACAATTGTGGACGCAGTCTTGACAGCCGAACTTGCAATGAACACGAGGGAAAGGTTGGCTTAGAGGTTTTGAATTCAAGTTCAATTCAATTTCAATTCAAGAACAATCGTAAATCTTGATTTCTTTAAATTCTTGACTATAATTTAGCCCTATTGCACTTATTGCTACAAGATAATGTTTGGACCCAAAGGCGTCGGCTATGGAGTTGGTGCTGGTCTTCTATCGATAAATAATGCAACTGATGAGATGACTGTAAGTAAATAATAAAGCAAGAAAAAATTCTACGAAATTTATGCAAAAAGCAAAAAAGTTCGCAGCGGGCAGGATTCGAACCTACGCGGGCAGAGCCCAATTGATTTCTAGTCAATCTCCTTAACCACTCGGACACCGCTGCTGCTAGTTGAGGGCCGGCGGAATGGGAATATATAGCTTTAGGCTTTGATTGACAGGTGTCATGTGACAAGTTTGTACTGTTATCAGAAGCTACAAATGATTCCTTTACTTTCTCAGTGATCCAAATAAGTTTTTGGTTCAATGAGAAAATTGAATTAGAGATTCAGTGCTACAAAAAGTTTCGAAGTGCTTAAAAGTGTCATTCTATTGTTAGACTACAGTATGCTAGCTTGGAAAGTATGCCGTCAGCAAGAGCTTTCAAATTTCGTAAATGATATAACAAAAAGATATTCAGTCTATCGACTGGTTACTTTATACCGAAGTATTGTAGTAAATTGGATACGATATTGTAGCTAAAACCTGTTCCTCGCGAGTAGTCTAATCCTAAAAGCTGTTCATAAAAAGTGGCAAAGTTAGAAAACTATGTTAATCTTTATTTTATGTTTTTGGTTCAATGAGAAAGTGAATACTGTAAGTAAATAATAAAGCAAGAAACAATTCTACGAAATTTATACAAAAACAAAAAAGTTCGCAGCGGGCAGGATTCGAACCTACGCGGGCAGAGCCCAATTGATTTCTAGTCAATCTCCTTAACCACTCGGACACCGCTGCTCATAGGGGAGGCGGCGAAAAGGCCCATATATAGCTTTAGTCTTTGATTGACAGATGACAAATCTGTACTCTTATCAATGAGCTATTCTTGGATTCTGTGCAGTGTCGTGCGAGAATACCGATAGGGGCGTTGATTATTAGATATTTATTCTGAATCTAGCAAGAAATACAATAAAATAGGATTAATCGTTGGTTCAGTGTTTCATGGCAATACAAAAGGAATACGAAAGGAATACGGAGAGAATATGCAAAGTGCCAATGTAAAGTGGGCTCCGACCCTTTTATCCGTCCCTTTATCTTAAAGGCAATCTTTCAGAGGCGGGACAAGAAAACCAGACATTCAAATCAAAACATTAAATAAGATTTCACAGAAAAGAACCACTTTTCTGCACAGATTCCTTCTTCAAGCCTTTTTGACTCTTCAAGCCTTTTTGACAGTTTCAAACAAAAGTGTTCACAGCGGGCAGGATTCGAATCTAGGCGGGCAGAGCCACTGATTCACTGAAGAAATGACCCCAGAAACCCGTAAAAGTCGTAAATAATGCTAAAAAAATGGGATTAGGATTTAGAATAGGTAAAATTCTGAAGATATCCACGCAAAGAAAGGACAAAGGTGCAAAAATAGCACATGCAATGAGAAAAATTTAGTAAATTTTTGCAAATTTATTTAATATAAACAATTTAATAGACAGATTTCAATATTTTTAAAATAATGAATCAAGAAAAAGCGATAAGCAATCAGCTGAATTGTGGTTAAAAGAAAAAAAGAGAACAGGAAATGCTTTGAAGGAAAAACAATTCATAAAACTGAGAAGGTTCAATGGATTTTTGGATTTATAACTATAAAAAAGATCATAAGGCATGTAAAAAGTAGTTGAAAGATCGAGAATTGACTTAACTTGCTTTGAATTTTACCGTTTTACGTAACTGAACACCGAAAATTCATTCAGAAACCTCCAAATACGTTCCTAAACCTCTAAATTCTATTGGTGGTGATTTCTTGAGCTTTATTGCCCTTAAATCGAAGCTTAAAAGTCAATAAAAAGTCAAGCCATTATTTTCAATGATTTTTCAATGATCTAAGCCTTTTTTTATAGTTAAAAACAAAAATGTTCGCAGCGGGCAGGATTCGAACCTACGCGGGCAGAGCCCAATTGATTTCTAGTCAATCTCCTTAACCACTCGGACACCGCTGCTGATGGGGGGAGGCGGCGGAAAGGGGATCTAGTGCGAGACGAAAAAATTCCTTGACTTGCTAGAATTTGCCTAAAATAAAGATTTTTTGTTTAAAAATGATAAAATCCATAGTTATTCTTATAGTTTTCAAGTTTTAAATACTAAATTTGAAATATTTAGCGTCAAATCCAAGAGGACAAATCTCTACCGTTTACCACAACAATCAGCTATGGTGTTGATGAGGAAATGGTTCGAAGGGTAAAGTTTTCTTTAAAATACTGCAAGATTTAAAGTCTAGAGTTCATTTGAGGGAACAACTTATCAAAATGGATCAATCCAGCAACAGTGTGAGTCTTAAAGATTAAGATTTCATTCTCATTACGAAATGCAAAGAAACTTGTTCAAGATTGTTCTCTTTGGCTTAATTTTTCAAAAACTTTTTCTAATTTTTGAATTTTAAGTGCTTTTTAGTAAAAAAATCTGTCAAATGTCGAATTTTAAACAAAATAAAACAATTTTTTAATGGTATTTGTAAGTTTTTATAGAATAAACCTGCAATTTTTAGTCTATCAACCAATTCGTGGTGTCGCATACATCCAAAATGAGCGAATTGATCCGCCCGTCGTGCGCACCGTCATTAAAGTAAGCTTTGCTAGATTAGTGTACAAAAAAAAGCTTTTGAAACCAGCTGTGATACAATTTTTTGCAAAACTACTAATTGTTATCGATTTTATCTATGAAGAAACCGGGTTTTCGAACAAATTTCCAATCACCGTGCCTTTTTTTGCTCAGTAATATAATAGTTAAACAATACAATGTCAATATAACAACAATATAACAATATAACAATTTAACAATATAATAATAATATATAATAAGTCATATAATATCTATCTGAACTTTTTTAAACTGAATTTACTTAACTAAAGAAAAGCCTAGTGTTTTCTTTCAAAGTTTCCTATCTTTTATATCTGTGCGTTTCATTGCTAAGCAAATCCAAAAATATTCTGAGCATTTACTTTGTGTTCATAAGTTAAAAAACGCGCTTTATCTGGCACTCAATTCCCTCTTTTCCTTGTGACATCACTTCCCGAAAGATTTAGATGCCAGAAAGAGTGTGTTTCCATATAAAGTACTTCCAATTTAACAATTTAACAATATAATAATAATATATAATAACTCATATAATATCTATCCGAACTTTTTTAACTAATTTTACTTAACTTAATTTTACTTAACTAATTTTACTTAAAAAAAGCACGTGTGGCTGACTGGTTAAGTGTCTTTTATCTTAATCGGAAGGTCGAGGGTTCGAACCCCACATGCGACATGGTCACCCCCTTCGGATTTCCTTTCCCTTCGGGTTGAGAGGTTTTCTGGAGGGCAGTCTGGTGGTTGTGGCCCCAGTTCTTTAAAGTGACAAGCCACTCCTTCATCGTCATCTTCCCTTCACCACCAAAAAAGCTATTTAGTTCCCCATTGAGCTTAGGGTTAGGGAGCCGTCTGTCATGACGTGGGTTAAGTTAAGATATAGCCTAGTATTGTGTGTGTCGTTGTATTGTGATTGATATATTTCGTGTATGCGATAAATTCACCACTGGTAGCCCCAGTCGGTATTTTTAACGAAAGAAAAGCCTAGTGTTTTCTTTCAAAGTTTCCTACCTTTTATATCTTTTAGTTTTCTTCTAATTTTCTTTATTAGAAAATTTAAACTTTTAAAATGCTATTAAACTATTAAATGCTAGCTTAAAACGATTGAACTGAAGCTTTATAGTTGTATATCTCCCCCAAACTTTTGAATATTCTCAAATCGCACGCTCGATGGCCCCAAAATGGGGTCATCAATTTGCCGCCAAGAGGGCCGCACTTGGCCCAAATGATGGAAAAGAGTGGAAAACTCTTTCTTGGTCTTCTCATTCATCTTTTTCTTCTAGTTTCCTTTTTTTTCCTCATCCTCTGAACTCATTGTCAGTTCAATATGCATAGTTAATCTAAACTGTCACTCTAGTCATCAATGCTTTCCCAGATCGAAGATTTTATCTAAAACTCGTATCACTCTGAAGTTTTAAAGCCTAAATCTTTGTTAGTTCTTTGCTCACCAGATTTTCCGTTTACTTTGCATACCCTCAAAGCTCAACTATCAAATCCAGCTATAATGCATACAGAGTGCGACAGAATTATGGAAACTTAAGTTATTGAGTCTAACACAATTCTCGATGCGTCAAATCCATTTCTTTGCTAGTACATTCTGAGTTACTTGCTCTAAGAAAAACATTATTGAACAAAGGCAAATGTTTCCTAAAAGTTCTGATAATTATTCAAAGTGCGCGCGTTGAAAATGCCCGACCGAATAGCGATATTTCACGATTTTCATAGATGGTTAAATAGAAATTTCGAAAAGAAAAGAATCGCTTTTTTGATTGAATTTCAATGTTTTATGACTACTTCTTGAACATGTTTATGTTTTGGGGCAATCGTAATCATAAATAGAATCTTAGAACGATTCATAGTGACTCGGCCAGGAATTCCCATGTCCGCACTTTGAATAATTATCAGAATTTTTAGGAAGCATTTACCTTGGTTCAATAATGTTTTTTCTAGAGTAAGTAACTCAGAATATACTAACAAAAAAAAAGAATATGGATTTGAGGCATCGAGTTAGGCTGAGTTAGGCTAGGCTGAGTTAGGCTGAGTTAGGCTAGGCTGAATTAGGCTGGTTAGGCAAGCTGAGTTAGGCTAGGCTGAGTTAGGCTGAGTTAGGCTAGGCTGAATTAGGCTGAGTTAGGCTAGGCTGAGTTAGGCTAGGCTGAGTTAGGCTGAGTTAGGCTAGGCTGAATTAGGCTGAGTTAGGCTGAGTTAGGCTAGGCTGAGTTAGGCTGAGTTAGGCTAGGCTGAATTAGGCTGAGTTAGGCTAAGCTGAGTTAGGCTAGGCTGAGTTAGGCTGAGTTAGGCTAGGCTGAGTTAGGCTGAGTTAGGCTAGGCTGAGTTAGGCTAGGCTGAGTTAGGCTGAGTTAGGCTAGGCTGAGTTAGGCTGAGTTAGGCTAGGCTGAGTTAGGCTGAGTTAGGAGTTAGGCTTAATCAATCAATAAAGTTACTATAATTCTGCCACACCCTGTACAAAATCCAGCTCACTTTCAGCTGCATTCAGTTTGTTTTTGTTTTGATTTGATTTGATAAAATTGTATTTCTAACAGTCTAGTGATTGGAAATAAATTTACCTAGCAGCATAATTTTACTCAATGAAAATAACCGAAAACTTTTGAATAAGAGAATTGGAGAATTGGAGAATTGGAGAGTTGGAGAATTGGAGAATTGGAGCAGACTGGGGTGACAGCTTAGATATACTAAAATAAAGATTGAGAAGATGAGGGAAAGAAAGAAAACTGAAGAGAAAAGATGAATGAGAAGAGATCCCGGGAGCTATTGGAAGGGGAAAGGGTACCCCTCTATTCCCAGCTGGGCTCTCTCCTCCATCACTCCCCTTTCCTCTTGATTTCTCTCCTTTTCACTCCAATTTTCTCTGAATCTCTCAAATTCCTATTCTCCACCATTAGACTCCAGTAAAATGCTGCGGAAACCGACGACCGAAACAGGAAATTTCGATTGCCACCCTATAGCTTTAAAGATTTCCGTTCGATTTTTGTTTGTTGTAGATTTTTTTTGCTTTTTATGATTAGAAATACGAATTTAAACCATTTCAATAAAGAAATTTTAGAATTTTCTTTTTCTTCGGAGCTTCTGAAAGCGAATCTAATGAACTTTAGACTTTCCCAATGGCATTTCTCTTTATACAGTTCATTTCATATTTCTTTATCCACTCCCCAAAAAGAGGTTTTATGGAGAATGGGTGGAGATATCGAGCTATTTTCTTTTGCAATAGAAAGGTCATATTGTAAAACCCTAAAAACACCGTTTTTGGGTTACTGGATTTTCTCAACAAAAGAAAACTAAGAAATGTAGATTTATTCGACACGAATAATGAATTACAGCACAACGGAAGAGATTTTTACCCCTAATTGCCCCTATTTTCTAAATGTTGCTAAGAAAAACCCCATAATAAAACCTATAATAATGGGAAAAAGAACTAATCTTTCTAGCCGCCGGTATCGAACCCTTAACCCCCCGACTAGGAGAGAAGACTCCTATCCGGTTGGCTACGACGGCTATTCTGCAAGAAGAAAGAAGATTCTGCGACCGTTTCACATTTCTTTATCCACTTTGAATAGGAACTTTGAAAATCAACGCTTATCAACGAAAATCAACGCCACGGCTCTCCAAAACCTTATCAAAAGTATGAATAAGCGAATCTATCAAGTTATTAATCGGTCCGGTAATTCCTTTAAAGCTCCTTTAAAGCTCCTTTAAAGCTCCTTTAAAGCTCCTTCAAAGCTCCTTTATAGTTCCTATTTAGTTCCTTTAAAGCTCCTTTAAAGCTCCTTTAAAGCGTCAGATTCAGAGGTGCTATGTCAGATTATTAGTTGTTATCTTCACAATTCTTGATGTCTCTTTTATTTGTTGTTAATGCTAAATAAATGTTGATTTTCAAAGTTCCTAAGGGTGGATAAAGAAATGATTAATAAAATAGCTTATTGTACATAGATTATTGTACATAGCTTATTGCTAGATTGTGGGAATAGCAGGAAAATGGTCACATTAACTTTTAATTGCCAACAATTACCCTTTCTATTTCCCTTACCATTAGTAGATCAGATTGTTAGCTTATAACTAACTTAAAAACATATAACTGTTATTAATCTTTTAGCTATAAACGGTCGCAGAATCTTCTTTCTTAGTTTTTTTTTTGTTGAGAAAATCCAGTAACCCAAAAACGGTGTTTTTAGGGTTTTACAATATGGCCTTTCTATTGCAAAAGAAAATAGCTCGATATCTCCACCCATTCTCCATAAAACCTCTTTTTGGGGGGTGGATAAAGAAATATGAAACGAACTGTATAAAGAGAAATGCCATTGGGAAAGTCTAAAGTTCATTAGATTCACTTTCAGAAGCTCCTGAAATATGAAACGGACTGTACTTGTGACTTTTGGCGACCAAATCCCCAAATTGATAGATTAAATTACCTTTTTGAATCAAATTTGCATTTAAACTTTGTTCTTAAGTCTGAATTCAGCTTCATTTAGAGTTAAAGCCGCTAAAAGTCACAAAAATCTTCATCTTTAAAGCCTCACTCGGATTTTATCTTCGGAAAACTTTCGATTCACTGAAATTTCAACTTATCTATCCGTAATTTCATCAAAATTACCGCATCATTCACTTTTCATACAAATAATTCTTCGTTTTCAATTTTACAAGCGATTCCCAATCAAATTTTCACACTCCCAGGATGATTTTCGATCAAATTTTCCCATTCACTTTTCACATAGCCATTCCCGAAAAGTTTTTGTGCCCTTTTCGGGTTCGCATCTTTCGTTTTATTTTTGTCCCCAAAAAGTTTGCGAACAAAAACGCCGATCAGCTGATATCAGTCGAGACCGACTGAACACGAAAAATTCATTCAGAAACCTCACAATATGTTTATAAACCTCTAAATTCAATCGGCGTTTATTTATTGGCACTCATTGCACTTTAAATAAAAGCTTAAAAGTCAATAAAAAGCTTAGCCATCATTTTCAATGATTTTTCAATGATCTGAACCTTTTTTAACCGTTAAAAACAAAAATGTTCGCAGCGGGCAGGATTCGAACCTACGCGGGCAGAGCCCAATTGATTTCTAGTCAATCTCCTTAACCACTCGGACACCGCTGCTGATGGGAGGAGGCGGCGGAATGGGCATATATAGCTTTAGGCTTTGATTGACAGGTGTCATGTGACAAATTTGTACTTTTATCAAATAGCTATACTTGATTCCTTTACTTTCTCAGTGATCCAAATAAGTTTTTGGTTCAATGAGAAAGTGAATACTCTAAGTAAATAATAAAGCAAGAAACAATTCTACGAAATTTATACAAAAAACAAAAACAGTTCGCAGCGGGCAGGATTCGAACCTACGCGGGCAGAGCCCAATTGATTTCTAGTCAATCTCCTTAACCACTCGGACACCGCTGCTGATGTTCGGGGTCGGGGGAGGGTCCATATATAGTTTCAGACTTTGATTGACAGATGACACAGCAAATGAGCTATTCTTGGATTCCTTTTTCTCTTACAATTTATAAACTAAGTATTGACTTGTCAGGTCTGATAGTAAGGGATAATTGTTCTAAAACTGGTTTTTGTTTCTGTAACTCTGGTAGACTCTGTGCTCTAGCGGAAATCAAATGCTTCTTAAATCCAAATCAAGAAATTGTATGCAAATTTTGATTCTCAAGCTTTTCCGATCATCCAGTAAAGCCATATAAACTTCCTTTTTACCTTTCTAGACTCCAAAAAAGTTTTCACATTCAAAATTTCAGCAAGATGCTCCAATCCCGCTTGTCCGAGCCCCCGTGGCTGCACCTCAACCGATGATCTGCCAGCGATGTGAAAAAACTGTTTACGAAGCTGAGAAGATATTAGCTGCTGGATCGGTAAGACAATTTATCTAATTGTTATTGAAATGCAATTCAGGTTTGGCATAAGACTTGTTTCGTATGCACGGAATGTAATAAACGACTAGAGTCGAGAACGCAATGCGAACAAGGAGGACGACTCTATTGCAATAGTGAGTCTCATTGCCAGATGAAAAAGAATTAGAAAGTGAAATCATTTATGAGTCTTGACTTGTCTAAGACATAGTTGCCATGTAATATACAGAGGTTGAGTATTTACAACGACTTCGCTTTGGTCGATTAGCTCCCAGACGCCAAGTTCAACCCTAATCTGTTAAGTGTTCTATAAAATAATGGAGCCCTTAATCTTGGCTACATTTATCTATTAAAAGTTTTCCGATTGAAGATAGACAACTCATTTTACAAGCTTTTGAATGAGTATTAGTTGATCCTTTTCCGGCACGCTGCGATTTTTCAATTAGTACTCCTTCAAAGGCTTGTAAAATGAGTTGTATATCTCCAATCGGAAAACTTTTAATAGATAAATGTAGCCAAGATTAAGGGCTCCATTATTTTATAGAACACTTAACAGATTAGGGTTTGTCATGGTTCATAATTTGTCAAACCCTGTAACGTCAAAAAGCTTTTATAACCATGAACTGTAGTGAGACAGAGGGACTTTTTCCAATTGTTCAAATCTCAAATACTAGTTGATCCTTTACTTCTCTAAAATCTCATTCAATTAAGTAGCTCAACTCGAAGATCTAATAGTAAAATCATAGTCAGTATTGGTCTATAGTAAGGGACACGATTGCTCTATATAAAAGTTTTTTGACGTTACAGGGTTTGACAAATTATGAAATGGATGCTTCTTGATGAATTAAAAGTGGAAAATAAAGAGATTACTCCAAGTGTTATATATCATTTGAAAGCTCGGTCCTCGCGTAGTTTCCGGGTATTTTCAACCGGTCGCCCACTTTGAAGGCCTATAACTTTGTCTAGAGATAATATTTTTGTTAGCTTTTTATATAATTGTAGAGAGGACATTTCAGGATTTCTACTGATACCAAATATAGCTTGATTGGATTTTTCATTCTCATTCAAACAAGGCGACACGCCAGCCGAGTTGGATGGGTCGCATTTGCTCAGAGTTGGCTCTGATTTTTCTTGGATTGGATTATCCAATTAAGCTCTATTTTGTATCATTAGAAAGCCTGAAATGTCTTCTATAGAATGCTATAAAATGTTAGCAAAAAATTGTCTCTGGACAAAGTTATAGGCCTTCAAAGGGGGCGATCCGTTGAAAATACCCTGAAACTACGCAAGAGCCCAAAAAACTACTGCAATGATATCAGCTGATTTTTAAGAGCAATAGTTTATGTTAGTAGTTTTTATGTGTACTATTTGAAAGTAAAAATTTGATCTTTCAGGTTGTTACGCTCGTCAATTCGGTCCCCGAGGCTATGGACATGGGGTGGGAGCTGGAATCCTGCAGCTGCATCAATAGATCAAAATAGAGAAAGAAAGAGGTGTTCTCGAGACAAAACAATGCAACAATTCGATCGATCGATTCAAAACATTGAGCATTGTGAGAGAAATTTCTTGTTAGTGGTTTAAATTTCGAATCTTTTCGAATCAATAATCTTCATCTACTTTCGCGCAAAATTGTTTATCCTTCATTTTCTCGAAAACCCAGATTCCCAGCTTATTTTTTCAAAACCATTGAAGCATTCATACTTTTTAAAAAGTTTAGAAGATTTTAAGTTTATAAACAAATAGATAGAAATATTTCTCATTAAAGATCTTTCTTTAATGACTTATAAGAAGAATTTGAATTCAAAATTTCCCGCAAACTTTTGATTTGATAGCGATTTATAGCAAAATGATAGAAAATAATAGAAAAATCGAGAAATTTTTGATGAAAAGACTTCTAGAGAACTTTTCCAAATGTAAAATTCTTCATTTTTATTACTAATAGTCATCCGAATTTTTGCTAAAACCGTGTATTTATTTTAGTCGACAAGCTGATTCGGAAAATTCCGAAATCTCTGTTTGTTGTCGTTTCCCGCTCTTTTCCTTCTTGTTTCTCGCGATTTCACAAGATTTTTGATGATTTATCTGCTGACTATGTGCTTCTCCACTTGAGAAATTGACTAAATGCTTTGAAGTTTTGTGTTAATCGATTTTGATTTGATTTGATTTGATCGATTTGATTAGCTTGGGATAACTTTGACATTTTGATTGGCTAGAAATAGTTTTAAATTGGATCGTTTTTCCCAAACAAAGTAATCAAGTGAGGCTAAAGATATTCAGTCTATTGGTGTCTTGAATTACTATAATCTAACAAATTCGAATATTGAGATGTTCTTTGCAAGTAGCACCTCTTAAAAGGTAACCAATTTGAAAAACAATCGTAATCTTTCCTTCAAATTTTGTCCTTTGTTAACTTTGATCTCATTCAATTCATTGATTCATCGATTCATTGAATAAAATCAATCAAGTAAATATAAACAATATAAAATAAAGATTACGATAGTTTTCTAACTTGGCCACTTTTTATGAAGAGCTTTCAGGATTAGACTACTCGCGAGGAACAGATTTTAGCTCCAATATCGTATCCAATTTACTGCAATACTTTGGTATAAAGTAATCAATCGATAGACTGAATATCTTTTTGTTATATCAGTTAAAATTTGAAAGCTCTTGCTGACGGTATACCAGGCCAGCATAGTCTAACAATAGAATGCCAGTCTAACAATAGAATGAGACTTTTAAGCACTTAGAAACTTCTTCTAGCACTGAATCTCTAATTCATTTTCTCATTGAAACAAAAACTTATTTGGATCACTGAGAAAGTAAAGGAATCAAGTATAGCTATTTGATAAAAGTACAAATTTGTCACATGTCACCTGTCAATCAAAGCCTAAAGCTATATATGCCCATTCCGCCGGCCTTCAGCATCAGCAGCGGTGTCCGAGTGGTTAAGGAGATTGACTAGAAATCAATTGGGCTCTGCCCGCGTAGGTTCGAATCCTGCCCGCTGCGAACATTTTTGTTTTTAACTGTAAAAAAAGGCTTAGATCATTGAAAAATCATTGAAAATAATGGCTATGACTTTTTATTGACTTTTAAGCTTCGATTTAAGGGCAATAAAGCTCAAGAAATCACCACCAATAGAATTTAGAGGTTTAGGAAGGTATTTTGAGGTTTCTGAATGAATTTTCGGTGTTCAGTTACGTAAAACGGTAAAATTCAAAGCAATTTAAGTCAATTCTCAATCTTTCAACTACTTTTTACATGCCTTATGATCTTTTCTATAGTTATAAATCCAAAAATCCATTGAACCTTCTCAGTTTTATGCATTGTTTTTTCTTCAAAGCATTTCCTGTTCTCTTTTTTCTTTTAACCACAATTCAGCTGATTGCTTATCGCTTTTTCTTGATTCATTATTTTAAAAATATTAAAATCTGTCTATTAAATTGTTTATATTAAATAAATTTGCAAAAATTTACTAAATTTTTCTCATTGCATGTGCTATTTTTGCACCTTTGTCCTTTCTTTGCGTGGATATCTTCAGAATTTTACCTATTCTAAATCCTAATCCCATTTTTTCAGCATTACTTACGACTTTTACGGGTTTCTGGTTTCATTTCTTCAGTGAATCATGGCCTCAACTGCTCTTGATGCTCACACTTCCACAAGTTCTGAGGCTTTCACAACGGGAAAGAAGGGACCGGTGGGTGAACTTTAAACGAATTTGTTAGAGGATCTTTCTTCTTCAAAATAGAAACACATATTTTGTGGCGCACTTAGTTCTTCAGCTTGTCTCCACCAGCAACCACTTGCTACTAAAGAAATTGAAAAGCCAATACGTTGGCTGTGTTTGCAAGATTGAGCACAAAGTACGAACGAGTTCATTGTTGTGAAAAGATTTTCCTGGTTTTTAGATCTAAAAATGCTGGTGAATTGAGAATTTTGACAAATTTTGACAATTCTCTTTACTCTCTTTTTCTTTAAAAGACTTAGTTCATTAAATAATGTACCAAACTTTCACAAAATAACGTAGAACTTTGGAAAAACCCGAAAAAAGTCAGTATTTCTCAAATTTACCATTGGATTCAGAAAATTCATGCATTTTACTTTCTAGAAAACAACTTTTCACAATAAAATATCTATTATGAGTACTTTTTTCAGTCTTTTACGAGCATTAGATTCATTCGGCTATTGCTATTTCTCCAAAAATGCAACCGAAAGCCGAAAAATACAACGATAGTGTATTAGGCTTGTAATCTGAAACAAAACCAAGGCTGCTTTTGAAGTTTTGATTAGACTGAGCAATCCGTTTACTAAAATATGTCAGTTTTATAAGATAATGCATACTAGGCCTTACTAATGACGAGCAATTTTGGTGTCAACTCAAGTTTTGCGAGCTGGTCAAAAAAGCGCGTCAAAACAATCAAAATAATCCGTTTGCTGTTTAGTTTATTTGTGTTTCTTATTTTCATTGAATTTAGAAAAGAAATTAACTATTTGTTGAGCTTTTTGAAGCCTTTTAGAACAAATCTCGGATGAGAAAATGCGAAAAAAAAGAAAAAGGGCTCAAAAAGAGGTTAACTGAGGTTTTCTCGACATCAATTCGGTTTTAAGTGATTCATAAGTATGCAAAATGTAGATAATTCTATTCTGCATCCAATAAGAATAAGAAAAACAAAGAAACTTAATCACGAAGGGGCTTTTTTTGACCGGGTGCTGTTTGTATACGGCGCTGTTTTGACCAGCTCCCCAAGCTTTTAAGGTTTTTGTCATTCATTTCGCAAAAATTTCTTGGCAATTTTTTATTAGTTTTCAAGAGGAGATTCAGGGCTATCCAATGATTATAATAGTTTAGTTTAGCTTTGATTTTACGCCAAGTTATCAGTAAAACAGTTGACGCGATTGTACGCCCTAAATTCCGTCGTTGCAAATGTGTTAAAAACGACTGTGTTCTTGTCTCGAGCTTTTATCCAATCTAGCGTCCTTCATAAACCCTCAAAACCTCAAATAAATGGACAAAAATTAAAGAGGAGATTACGGTAGCTTTCGAAATTGATGCGTTTTAGAATTCATGAAGAACTTTCTTCAAAACTCTTTGATTTTCTTATTCAAAACTTTGCTCTCATTTAAGCAAACATCATTCACCTCATATTTATATCAAAATAGCAAATTTTGATTTCAATGTTTACTTCCAAACAAAATCTTCTTGATTGAGTGTCTTTTTGTCTCGAGATGATCAATCCTTTTCTCCATTTTTTCAATTTTTCATCGCAGAACACCCCTCTCCTTCCCTTCCTCTTCCCTTCCCTTCCCCCTCTCCTTCCTTCTCTTCCCTTTCCTCTTTCTCCTTCCTCTTTCTCCTCTTCCTCCTTCTCTCTTCTCTTCTCTTTTTCTTCTCTCTTCCTCTCTTTCTCTTTCTTCTCTTTCTCTTTCTCTTTCTCTTCTCTCTTTCCAACTTTGATCCTCTTGAGAATTTTTATGACAAGAAAACAGAGAGGGAAGTTCAAACAATAAAGCAACTAAAATTTGCTGGTGATCTCATTCTCTCGAAAATCTCTCGAAAATGACAACATTTTATGTGGGGTTTGCTTTGATCTTGATTTAAAGTTGTAAAAGTTTTGATCCTTACGGGTATTACTCTGACACTAGTTCTGTTGTAGGTACAGCCAAAGTGTGGGTGACAGTACATTAGGCATTGTCTACTTTGGCTTGCAAGGTAGCCCCCCAAACTACAGATGTTAACTAATCTCGCAATATAATACTTTGAGCTCTAAATACTCCAGTTCTGATGTACTCATCTAGCTCATTATTTTTAAAATCAAAAATGAAAGCGATGTTGCTTCTCTTTTGCCTTACTCTTGTTGCCAAACATTCCATAAGAAAACATTGAGTGCACGAGAAAGAAAGTGCTTACATTTTCCGAGCACCAAGAGCAGCTAACAAGGGGAAATCAAGCTAGTCTTTTGACTCGAGACCAAGTCCATCTTATAGAGTCGGCCATGGGGATCTCGAATCCGTTTTTAGTTTTTGTAGAACACTTCGCAAACCCGAGATAGACTAGCATAGAAAATCGCCTTGAATTTCGAGCTCCTTATGGGGCCATCAAACGCTTCCCTAATAACTGCTTTAGTGGTCTAGTGGACAGTGTCTGCTAGACTACTGAATATTACGTTTTTTGGCCTCAAGTTCGAGTCCCACTCTCGTCAAACTTGCGAAGTGTTCTGCAAAAACTAAAAATGGATTCGAGATCCCATGGCCGACTCTATAAGATGGACTTGATCTCGAGTCAAAAGACCAGCTTGACTCGATACCTTTTCCTTGTTAGCTGCTCTTTATGCTCAGAAAATGTAAACACTTTCTTTGTCGTGCACTCAATGTCCTTCTTTTTTTTCTTATAGAATGTTTGGCAACAAGAGTATGGCAAAAGAGAAGCAACATCGCTTTCATTTTTGATTTTAAAGATAATGAGCT